CAGTGTTTTATTGTTTAGGTAATTATTGAGATAATAGAAAATTTGTTTAAAACGTGAAACTAAAAAAAAAATTAAAATTAACTTCTCGAAGACAAATAAGGGTAAAGCAGGTTTGTGTAAACAGTTTCTTAATTTAGTAATGAGGTAACAATACAAATTATAGATCCTGCCCAACGCAATTAAACATTTTTAAAACTGTTGGTAACCTTTTTTATATTATTTTTATTTAAAAAAAAAATCTGAAGCCATATTAAAAACTATGTGTTTATAACTAAAATGTTTTAACCAAAAGAATCGTTTTGGTAAATTTTTGGTTTTCAAGTATATACATTTTACCGAATTTCTAACTGCGAGCGCTTATAAAATAACCTGTCGACAATTTTGATAAAGCATTTTTGTTTAAATGTTCCATACGTCAAATCAGCAATGTTAACTTACATTGTCATTTTACTATGACATCAGCTGACCAGGTGACCTTCCACAAGCATGTTTTTTTATAGCACCTGTTACGAAACGACTTTTGTATATTTGATACAATATTACAATCGTTTTGACTTTAGGAAATAATATATAACTTGTAGTTGTCACAATACTCTACATTGTTTTGGTTTGATATCACTTCTAAAATAATAGATTTGTTTTACAGCTTTGATTTTATTATTTAAATTTATCAAAAAATATTAAAAATATTCAGCGAAACTATACAATGAGAACCCAAATTCTTTGAACTATAAATAGATAATAGCTTTACTTCAACCGAAGCAAGTCTATAAACTTTATTCGTGCCCCCCTCCCCCTGACATGTATGGCTTAAGATAGGACTTTTGATTTGTCGTTTCGGGATTGCTTATTTTATAGTTTGGTTAGACGACACTATAAAACTGTTTATTTCCTAAACAGAATGCCAATTTGTGTTATTCTTTGTAGAAAATACATGCAACTTAATGGAACTCGTTTTTATTGGTTATTAAGTCTTATTAGTTATTGCTTATTATTTAAGCATACGCGCGGTTTTTCATTTAAACAATTTGCAAATTGTTTGTTAGAATTATTACTTTTAACCAAAACATAAGACATTTTGTTTGCATCATACATGTATATGTAAATTGTATGTTCACTACAAAATTGTGTACTTAACGCATATGTGTTACGTATTTCATGTTTGTTACTTTAGATGGAACTAAAACGTCAACACTTAATAATGTGCTAAATAATATTTAATATTTGCTTAAATATGCAGGTGTAATGTGGCATTGCGTTAATCGACTACAAAATTTCATTTTAAGTGTATAGTAATAAATGAATTTGGAGTTTTTATGATTTTTGTAAATGCATATTATTGAGTTAGATATTAAACTGTGGGATCATTTTTAAAGATTAACGGTCCATAACAATCATAATATTGAAGTTCTAGTTTTTTCAATAAAATTTATATTTTATCTACTCGAAGATCTGATTAAATATATTTAGGCTTTGGCAATACTTAGTATATACTATATACTTAATATGAAATCAAAGCTAGAAATATAAATTGTACGGTGTGTACAAGTGAGCATCCTAGCTACCTAGTTTAATTAACAAGAGCTCAATATTTTAGTAATTATGCACAAATATGTGGAATATTTGACTAGCTGCATCTCTAACTATTAAACATTCTATACATTACTAGTAGCTTAATTAAATAACTACGATTTCACAGAAACATCGTGTAATATAATAAGTAATTGTTATTTTGTACAGTTTGTTTTATAAATTATATATTATATAAATTGTAATCGCATTGCAAAACTAACTGGTGAGATGGAAATATTTAAAAGTAATATTTTAAATACATTTGTTCGGTATTGAATAGAAATTTTACTGAATACTTTTAATACATATATATTATTAATTATAAATTTAGTTTTAGTTCATCTTTAAAAACCATTTACGTGTAACTCCTAGTTTATCATGTTTGTGTATTATTATCATATTTATTATTCATGATTTGTACATGTTTTTTTTACAGCTTATTTTCAAAATAAAAATTTAAAAAAAAAGTTACAATAAGGGCCACCCAAAAAGAAAATTATCAACAAAAATCGGAGAAAACAAATGACATTTAATACAGTGTCAATGAAGTGCAAAATTAAACAGAGCTAGCGTAGTATATAATTAGAACATGTTGTGGATTGAGTTTAGTAAGGTCTAGCTGGACACAAGCCTTTAGAACTTATTAAAACCGACTGTGGAGGATGACTTTCAAAAAATGCGTTTGGACGAAAAGTTATTTAGATCGTAAAATGAAATTTAAATTGTTACATAAAAATATTGTTGTTTATGTCAGTATACAGGCAACATTTTTTTATTTTAATATCTTTTGTAATTTAATTCCAAAGTAATCAGTTACGTTCAACACCGTTTTGAATAAATATCTGTTATTTCAAGTTTCAACCAAACTTTTAGTTGAGAAACTTTAACTTTAGATGACTCTACTAAATATTTGGCCGCAAGAACTATAATTATTTATAAAGTCAACTATATGTTTACATTATTATTATACAACGTAAACAATTTGGCTGAAGTTTGCAGTATTAACCATAGTAAATTTGTCCAATGTATAATAAATGCTGTACAATTCCAGTTTCTCAATTATTTCTCGGTTTACGCGTTGTATTACATTTTAATTGATAATAAATAAACGTGTAAAGCGCGTTTTTGGAATGTCACCTTCGAGTCAACAGGCGTTGGTCGCTCACCGATCATAATCGAGCGTTTTATAATGATAATAAAAATAAAAATATAAATTAGTTATTATTAATATCGTTTTTCATTAGATTGTCGGTAGAGCTGCATTCTACTGTTTAGTTCTGCAGACTGCAGTAGAGTATAATAAAACGGGAGACTTATCGGCATCCTTATCACGGGTAACCCCGGAGAAGTATAAAAATATTACGCTGCCTACAATATTGTTATAGTGGTAGTACACCAATAAAATACCTTTACAATAGTAATGGAATCATTAGCCATAAAACGACAACCGCTGTATTTATATATTATTATTATTATGGAGATTTCGAAGGATATTATAACACAGCCGAACACACACTGTACCTATATATATATATGTATAAAAGTAAAGAAACAATGCAGAAAGATAACTCGTTTCGAACAATAAAATTACATTTCTATTATAATATTATGCGTTCGTTTAGGACTTTGCCGGGCCGCATAAAAACCGTTCATTAAACGCTGTTTCCCTTTTTATTTTTTGGTCGACCATAACAAACGTTGCGACATCGGCTAACGCGTTATTATAATAAACGCCAGACGCCTAGGTCAATGGACGAATTTGACAGCGACTTGTCCGATTTCGATCAAGTCAGATTGTTATCCGAAACAAATTAAAAAAAAAATTCATGTAACAAATAATCTTATCCGACCGAGACGACGTTGCGTCGTCTGGCGTTAATATCTCTTTCGCTACCGCCCCTTTCCCTCACTATAGGTCTGGTTGCTCGTGTCGGTCTAATTAATGAAAAATTGTACATTATAATTGTATAAGTATGCATTCGCCAAAATGAACTCTCCGTTTTTCAAAAGCTTTCAACTTTTAGAAACCCGTCTGGTTAGTGTACAATTCCGATCTGTTGTCGTTGCAATTGGATTAGTATCAGTCGCATCAGTCATTCACCTACGAATGTGGATTTTGAGTTAAAGATGGCATTGTAAGTATTAATAAATTATGTTAATCCTTTTGCAAATAAAATTATTCAAAGATCATTTATAAGAGTCCCTGGCAAACATAGTTCGTTATCAATCGGCTAAAACTGATATTTTGAAATGATAAAATTACAAATTTTTTTTTTCAACTATAAAACGTTTTATGCCAACCGATGCTGGATATAGTATAACATTTTAATATGCAATTCGGTATAGTAATATTTCAATTTTAATATACTTTTATATCTCGCGTTACTATGAGTAACATGTACCATAAAAATGCAATTATAAATAACAAACTATATATATTCCTAAAGTATCACACAGAAAGAAACAGAAAACGTATTTATCTTCTAATCCATATTACAACGTAGTGTATTGTTAACTTAAACAGATAAATTTATTTAAGTCACATGTACATTATTTTATAATTAAATAAGCCTACTGTTTAACTGTCGAAACTTAGGTTTGATTAGATCTTTAGGAGTTATTAAACCTAAAAATGATTAAGTCACTTTCAAATAAACAGTTCGATGCAAATCTATAAAATTTGCGAAAATATGTTACATACAAGAAAGTTACATGCAAATAAATTACAGGAAATAATGTATGTTTATAATCATGTTATTAAGTTGTTTTGTGTTATCCTATAGTGAAAAAAATTAGTGATTAAAGATTTTTAGTTATGCTATAAAATGTAGTATAGGTAAGGTACAGGTAGTATAGGTAGTATAGGTACTAGGTAACTATTAAAATGTTTAATTTTCAGTCAATACTTTACAGTAGTTTTTTAAAGTCTTTTTACATTTCTAAAACGGAAAAAGTTTTAAAATATACAGCGACAAGATTTTATAGTTGAGACTATATTAAATGAATAGCTGATTTTTCAACTAAACTTTATTTTTGGTAGGATTGCACTATTTGATATGTTACTTTTTCCAATTTAAGAGAAAATACAATTATTAAGTAGGCTAATAGGCTTTCATATTAGCGCAACCAAAGCTCGATAATGAAAGCACCCAATTATACCATATTTGCCACTTTATGTAATAACTATTTTAAAACATATTGGTATAATTACATCATAATTGACAAAAAGTAACAGGAATTTGGCCACCATACCACAGATTTATAAGTAGAGACTTTAGAAGTGAATTTTTTAAAACATATTTTTTTGAAAACAGTAGGTTTACATGCTGCTGGAAAGCGAGTTGTCGTGGAAAAAATAATAGGTCGTTTCTGGCGACGACCGGTGTCGCCTTTCTTAAATATATATATTAGAAGTCGGAGGGGCTTACTGTTTTTGCGGGTCGGTGAAAGTGTTGCGGTACAAGGCGCTGAGGGTGCCAAAGGCTATCATGAACAACATCAACTCTCTGTACAGCACCTGGTACAGACTGCCTCGCCACAGGAACAACAACTTGGTGAACCCTCCGCTGCTGGAGGACGCCACCTTCGACTGGTAGCTGACCGTCATGACGATTTGCCGTGTGTTTCGTGCCCGTTACAATGTATTAATTATTGGCTATCTCTTCAAGCCTCAGGGCATGTCATCTGCTGCGATGAACGTGTCTTCTCCGGATTAGCAGCCCATGTTTGTTGGGCTTAACACGCGTGTAAATGTACCGTCGGTTAAGGCGAGTTACGAAGCGCGACTGCGACGGCGATCGACGATCGATACGGGTACATACTGTTATTGTTATGGTAATGATAAATGATAAATGATAAATGATTATTGTTTTATGCGAAAAACACAACACACGCGACCGCGTTCGCCGACTGAGCCGCGCCGGTACGCTGACACTTGTTGGATTTTTCGCGCGTTTCTCCCCCTTTTCCTAGAGTTTACATGTATAAGTACCATAGGTACGGCCTATCAGTAGGTGTATAAGTAGTAATAATAAATAAATAAATCACACGGGCGGCCAAACAAAACGCGGTGGAAAACTGGATAGGGGAAAAAAACAAAAATTGTCTAACCTTCCACTCCGTGCGAAAATAATGTAATCATATTAAATTTTAGGCACGGCCGGTATAGGTATATACCGCCGCACGTTTTACCTAGATAAAATACAAATTTACCTTGCGCTGTTTACACGTCTACTGCACGGTGTGTATGTGTGTGTGTGTGTGTATACGCGTAATCGGTAAACAAAGAAGCCGGTTGTATGTGTGTACTTATGCTTGTGTATAATATGTTTGTGCCCAATTCTAGCGGAGAGGGTTTGGGTAGCAGACAAGAGGGGAAGTGATGGCGGGAGGTGTTAGGAAAAAAAAAACAATTTATAGAGTCGACTTCGAGGTTGTGTGCGACACCGTTCGGTGCAATTTGTCGCGATGATTTCCTTAATTCGAGGATTGCTTTTTACCTCTCGCTCTTGTCACTTATATATTATTATATCGAACCGGAGCGCCCGCAGTGTGTTGGGCGCCTTGCTGGAAAAAAAACACCCGTGACGAGGGTAAAATAAATTAAATAACGCGTGGACGCGACAAAAACAAAAAAAAAAAAAGCAAGCAAACGAATCGTCAAAACCGACGACCTTAAGTATATGCAGCGCATAGTGATAATTCGAGGACGCTCCATTAATCGCTTTGTGAGGCACCGACAGCCGACGCGATAGTCTGCACTTCTAACGTTGTATTTACATTTATTTATTTAACTATTATTTTTTGTTTAACACTTGTTTTTCCCTTTAAATTTAATTATTTCCTACCTCTGAATACAACCCATCAAAATTGAAACGTCTCGAGTTTTGGCATTCGAAGTTCACTTTAGGTCGGGCAATAGAAGTTCTCAGCTCATGGGCAGGATAAAACCGCGCAATGCTCGACAACCCGGCAACCTGGACTACTTAATTACTAAAGCAAAAAACCGAACATTTTTGCTTTTTAAAAGCAATTTTCGGATATAAAATTAGAACGAATAAAGACATATTGAGACTAGAACATTTTTGTCGTACCTATATCCGTTGTAACGTTCTACAATTAACCTTTCGGTTTAATTTTTATATTTAAATGTTAGACGAGGGAAATGTGAAGAGAAGACTTAGAGGTAGAATTACACGCAAGAAGAAGTGGTCAGATGTTATATATAAAGACAATGATATACGTATGTGGAGTAAATAAAGAAATGTTGATTACTTGTGAAGAGAGAGAATAATTGCTATATCGACCATGTTTGTATTGGTTGAAAAATATGAAAATTGATGTACCCTTTTATAGATTTAAAAAAAAAATCGTACACTACGTTCAAAAAAAAAAAAAAGCGTGAGACGTGTCACATGAGTAAATTAGATTCGTGGCAGTATGACATTTCACGTTTAAATAGCTTTTAATTGAAACAACTGTCTTAGGCAAACAATGGGCGCGTGTCTATTCGTTATTGCGCGAAACACGGTTACATACACAATACGCGGCACAAGTCTAATTAATTTAGACATTTTGTTTTTTTTTATCGACTTGGCAGGTCATATTGGTTTTGTCAAGTAACATTTATGATGTCTACACGGTTTAGTATGAAAAAACGTTTTACCATTAATGGATTTTAATTGTGTTAGTTGTTATATGCATAGACGCGAGACGAAGAGTAATGATGCGCTTCCATTGGCAACAGAAGCGGTTCGATGGGCTCAAATGCGAAACATGGGGGTTATATAACTCGTAGTGAAAGTATCAGTCCAATCGATAAGTTTACTTCCAATTTGAAGTTTACTCCAGACATATGTAGACCCTCGTAGGAATTTCAGTGATGGAAAACCAGATGACACAAGACAAATCATAATTCTTGTTAACTCTTCAAGGAACATTTTGAACTCAAACTGTGCAATCATGAAAAATCTCTACGTTTTTCATGTAAACAGATTGACTTCTTACATAAGGTACATAAGCGATCACTTGGTCTAATTTGGTTTTCATTACAACGCGTACACAGACAAAATGTATTATACTACTCCTATTCAAAAGTACTAATACCAGTACATTCAGCAATACGGCAAAACAGATAAGTTAACAATTCAAATTATTTTTTGTTAATATAAAAATTGCAGTAGAATGCATTAAATGAGTCATGTTAACTTGTTATTCTGTTATAACTTATGAAATATAATTTGAGTAATACGTAATAATGTTTAAAAACTGAAAACGCGAAAAAGCGGTTTCAGAGTTGTGTTATGACGCGCCATTTGATTGACTAGGAAAACTTCTCTTTCATGTTTGCACGCCGCTCTGTCATTTCGTGTGATATCACCATCATGATAGTTACCCCCAAGGTTAATAGATTATAGTCTATTGTAGATGATAGTCTATATCTATTAACCTTGAGTTATCCCTATGTCATATCATATTTAAATAGCTAACAATCATCTGGGAAAACACCATACATTATTTTAATTAAATATAAATATTTGCAGATTTGTAAAATATATATATTATACATATTTATAAATTCCTAATAGTCTAATGGAAACTACGGTACGAGCAACATCGACCACAGCCCTGAAGATGGAATGTGTAAGTATTCCGAAACGTTGGTAGACCAGTCAATTTATTCGAGTGGGTAATAACCACAAGATGTGTAAATAGTGTTAGTATAATACCCCTCTTCGATAATATTCCAAAAGTTAGTTAAATGCATAATAATACAATTTGTTATTATAGCCCAAAGGCACTTTTATTTACATAAACAATATTATTTAAAACATATATCAAAGGGAGTACACATACTAACTAAATATACATGTGTAGGGTTCTACTTCCAATGAAGTAGCTCTATATATAATATAATAAACACAAAAACAAGTAATGTGGGTAAAGTTACTTCAAAAGATTTTGCCACAATACCCAAAATCGATTGCTTTTATTTTAGGATTTTTCTCGCTAAATAAAAAAAAAAATTTTAAACATTTTAAGCAAAATATAAAAATTTCTAGTTTTATTTTTAATAAGTTTTGAATAGGTACTCAAAAAAAGTTTATACAATTTTTTTAAACAACTTTGTAAAATTCTAATTTAAGTTATAAGAAATTGTTGTACAACGAGCAAACAATTGATGGTTTAATGGATAAATAATTGTAAATTGTAAGCAATATAAACATTATAAAGTAATACCTACTACTACTACTACTACTACTACTACTAATAATAATAATAATAATAATAGTATTGTAATTATCTTAACAAATGATAGCGGGTATTTATTATATTATAAACAATAAAGTCAATAATTCCCCTGGTTTCACAACTTAAATATACATATAGGAAAACAATTAACATGTTCTGTCATCTTAGGTTCGGTCATGATCTTCTTTCAGCTTACGTTTATATTTTATCTCTTAACTCATCTCTTTTCTGCTATTTTCATGATGAGGAAATGGTTGGTGACTTCTCCCACTACCCCCTAAACTGACCAGCTTTGTCTATCAATAGATCCACTTTATTTAATTTTCTAGCCCCTCACTACCTCTTTAGCTCCCGTTCTTGGCTCTCAATCCATTCATTTATCCACTCTTAATTATCCTTTCTTCTGAGCGCAGGTCATACAATTTAGCTTTTATGTAAATATTGTATTCTCTTTTCATTGTAGTACCTAATTTTATTTTATAACAATTTCGTTGTCAAATGCTATCATTCTAATTGCTGGGCTATATATTTTTGTTTAAATAAAAGCTATCAAAGTCAACATTTAAGTCAATAAGGTAGGCAACTTTAATAAATGAAAAAATTTCATAGAGTCATAAACAATGTAATAACGATCTAAATTATATGGCGTATTATGAACTGCACCGTTAAACGTACAACAAAAAATGTAGTGCTTGTGTAAATAATAATTTTATAGTATAAACGTAATACACATAATACATTTATTGACGTTAAATAAAAATTGTTTAGTATTCGTAATGCGTTTGTGTAGGGGATATGAGAGATATATCATTGCCTATCATGCGTATTTTATTTTATAGGTTTAATACAAAACCAACGGTATCATATTTACCCCTGTCCCCTACATAATATGATATTTGTGTTGTACTTAATGACGAGCAAAAATATTAAAAATAATTGTCAATATTTAATTTAATAGTATACATTAAAACCGTTATAAAACATTTTTTTATTTACGGAAAAAATTACATTTTGTACAAAATGTATTGTGGATTATTTTCCAAATTGAAGTCAACAAAATGAGTAGTTACTAAAAAAATTAACACAATAACAAATTAAATCAAATTCAAATGAAAAAGCATTTTTTATATTCAATTTTTGTTGACATCCTCTCATAAAATGTAAATAAATTGAGTTTTTTTTCATATAATAATATGCAAATATTTATGCTATGTAGTAACAAAGTAGCTTTTAATTAACAACATTATGTTAGTTAGAGTTTTATTGCCTCGTTCCATCGTTCATAAATAGTCAAGTATATAAAAGACAAAAGCCATAAATAACTTAGGATTAAGTTTTTAGAAGTTTACGAATAAACATTATTTTGCGCTGTTTAAGCTACTAAGTTCTACGGACCTAAAAATGATTTACTTACAAATAATAATACGGCAGAGTGTTAGGTAACACAATAAAATGATAGATAACCAATATTACTTTTTTTTTAATTGTATAGATTTAAATCATTTTTGTACAAACATTCATAAACTCACCTTTCTTTACTATTGTTTGTTCTAATTAATAAATTATTACAAGTATAAAGATTAAATACCAGTGGTCAGACATTGTGCCGAAATACGTTATAGTAGTTAGAGATTGTAGTAATAGTACTTATAACTAAATTGTAGCTAATTAATTAACTACATATTTATAACAATCTTGAAATAAGAACTTTCGATGCGATACATATTACATGGTTGTGACTTTAGCTTTTTTAGCATTTAAAATGTTTTGGAGATAGCTTAGGTCATTTCAAATATTTAAAATTTGGCACAATATTTATTGAAATAACGTTCACCCAATAAAACATC